CACGACTCGATCAACGAACCTACAGAATCGCGACAAACCTCTTCCAACTCCAGCGTTATTCTCCTTACCGTCCAGATCCAATGCTGCCTTATCTTTAAACTAGGCTATTAGTATTATTTAAAGTTAACATTATAAAATACGTAGACCTACACCACAAAACTAGTTGAGGATAAATTATTTAAAATTGGGGAAGTCCAGCATTAAGGACATGACATTTGCAGTCAAAACGTGAAATAAAAATTCTCAGAAAATACATCTATTGAAACGTATATAGGCTACTTCCTTAAAGGACTCCAGACATTAGACAAATATCAGTCTATGTTTTATTTTTAATATTAGGGAAAAGACACACATTCATGCGTGACAAAAAAATAGGAGGTAAAATATATTTTTTGTAATTCTGTTAATTACACTGCGCAAATCGGATGAGGAAGGGTTGGCTCTCCAGTCTCCATAGAACTTAAAATATTCATTTTATTTTAGTTTTCGTGTTCGCATTTATGAGGAAAAAACAATGTTACAGACGCGACCGCTCTGAACTGGCACTAAAAGACTGCTTTAAAACTTTCACATAGTCTGTTGCCTTTAAGAAGTAAAAGCAGACAATACACTGTAATACAACTGTAATACAAGCCTCACTGAACATGTAACGAGTAAAATATTACTGAAAATTGATTAGTAATGCCTTACACTACTGCGTTACAGCAAAAAGTAATATGTTACTGTAATGTATTACTTTTGTAATGCGTTACTCCCAACACTGGACGTTTCGTTGCTATGATACAGAATATATGCAGCAGTTGAATGTTGTGACAGTTGGTCGGTGTGGTATTAGTCCCGCCCCTTCTCCACTGTGATTGGACGGCTGGGTAAAAAGTGACAGTGATGAGCGCTGCGTTTTATCCAAAGTTGAACATTTTTCAACTCCCGCCGACCAGTAAAAACGCCGGGCGCTCTGCGCTTCAGCATGAAAAAAAAAACGTTCAGCGCCTCGGTACGCTCATGGCGTTTAAAAACGCGGCGCTCCCATTGAAAACAATGGAAAACATACGCCAGGCGCGTGGAAAAACGCTTTGGTGGACACATGGCCTTAACGTTACATTACTGTATATATAAATATATGACCTACCCCAACCCCGTCCCTAAACCTACCCGTCACTGGGGTTAATACCATTTATGAGTCTTCCCCTACCATCCTAGGAAAAAAAAGATCGCTCCCCAGATGTAGATCTACATTTTGCTTCGTTTCGCTCGGACATTTAACGGTGTGTAAATACGCGCGGAATCACTCAGACATTTAACGCCGTAGACATACACGCAGATAGCTCAAAATGCGTATAGATAACACACCACTTGACTTGAAAGTGTATGTTTACGCAAAAGTCATGATGTCATGTTGCTTTGGCAAAATTTTGTATTTGAGCGCCCTGTCTGGTTTCTGTTTTGACACAAGTCCTTTTTTCTAGCCTTTTCCTATGAAAAGGCTTGTGTGGAAATGCAGGTAATGGTGTGGAATGGGAACTTTGTGATGGGGATAGTGGGGTACTGGGTTCTCATGGGAGGGGGGAGTCTGCTATGTAAGGGGAATGACGCGTGGAATGCCCAGAATGCTTGCGGCCTGAATGGCAGGTCCACGCCCCCAGCAACAGGTCACGCTTCATCGCTAGTTTGTCCCATGGGTGAGAGTTCAGGGCCGCTCCTGTCAGTTCTCTGAAGAAGGGTCGAGGGTCACCATCTCACCAAGAGCTCGGCTTTCCCTTCTCTATCAGCAGGGGACCAGAAGGGGCCTTCCCCTTCTTCCCACACAGGCCCAGATCTCCAAAGGCGGGCATTCTCTGCATAGATCCCTCTCACAAGCTCCTTCCTGTGGACTTGGCTTGAAGCTGAGGGACCCCCCAATTGGACACAGGCTGCTGTTTTTTAAATCAGGTCACTACTCAAGTCTAGCCTAAAAGCAACAGCGCAGATTTTTTACCAATCTAATTATATCTATAATCTTTTATTTATAAATGTTAAATGGTTGCACAAAAATAAATCTCTAACCATCTAACGTTAAACACTAAAGCAAGGGTTGAAGGGCTAGTTCACCCAAAAATGAAAATGCTATCAGTTATTACTCACCCTCATGTTGTTCCAACCCTGTAAGACTTTTATTCTTCTTCTGGACACAAATTAAGATTTTTTTTTTTTTTTTTTTTTGAAAGCTAAGGGCTGGATCACTCCTGCATTCACTTCAATGGGCTCTATGCACGGCGGTATTTCCGGTGAAGCATTAGGGATGCTCGATAACTTCCGCCGTAGAGTCCAATGCAATACCGAGAATTTATATTGAATTTTATACTCCATGGTTATACTAATGAAACGTTAGTCACAAAAACAGATAAAACAGACACCCCTCGTTGTGTTTATGCTTCTTTTTAAAATTATATTAAATAAATATAACTATATATAAAATTACATCTAAACGTATGTACGTTTCATTTCAAAGACTGGAGGACAGTAAATCTTGAAGACTCTGCCATAATCCTCTGCCATTTTCCTCCGCTTTAATCTCCACAACCGGAAATGGACGAGCATCATTGCGTCAAATGCGGAATTTATGCGTGCATATAGCCCATTGTAATAATTGAAACTTGCCAGCCCAGAAAGTAAGTAAAAACATTGTTAAAATAGTATGAGTGACTACAGTGGCTCAACCTTGAGTTTATGAAGCGACGGGAATACATTTTGTGCGCAAACCTCCCAAAAAATATTTTTTCAATTTTATTCAACTATTAATTTTCTTCCATGTGGACCTCAGAGTGAGTTCACGAGCGCCACGACGTATGCGCACGAACTAAGACGACACTCACGATCATTTGATGCCAAGTCTGAAAGGTAAGCCATTCATTTTGCAGCAGTGGTGAGCTTTTTTACATTTTCTCGTTGGTTTCTCACGATTTGGACATTCAGGAAATGTACTCTTTGGAACCATTTTAAACACTACATCGAAACCCATCTGCGTCATCTTTTCAGTTCCCACACATTCGTCGTGGCGCTCTCGTGAACTCACTCTCGGGCCCACACAGAAGATGATGAATAAGTTGAATACAGTCGTTATCTTTGTTTGTTTGTTTTTTTGTGCACAAAACATATTCTTGTCGTTTGATAAACTTAAAGTTGAGCCATGTAGTCACTTAGACTATTTTAACAATGTTTCACTAACTTTTCTGGGCCGGCAGATATAATTACATCAGCCTATGGAGGAGTGAGACTGAGACAGCTCTCATATTTCATCAAAAATATCTTAATTTCTCTTCAGAAGATGAATGAAGGTATTACGGGGATGAAACAACATGACGGTGAGTAATTACTGACAGAATTTTCATTTTTGGGTGAACTAACACTTTAAAGTCAGAAAAGTATGGAACAAAATAGACTGGTGATTGAATAAACAAATTAATTAATTAATTAAACATTCATTAGTGAGTCATCATAGGCAGAAAGTTAATAAAAAGATAATCAATGATTCATCATTAGATGTATATTACATTTGGCAGGACGTAAATAAATACATAAATAATCAACAATTAATAATTATATTTATATGACATTTGGCTAAACATGAATAAATAAATAATCAATTACTAAATTTATATGACATTTGGCAGAACATAAATAAATAAATAAATAATCAATGATTCATCATTACATTTATGTAACATTTGGCAGAATGTATATAAATGAATATATAAATAAATAAATTATAAATCATTCATCATTAGATTTTTATGCCATTTGGCAGAATGTAAATAATACAAAATAATAATCATGATGTCTCTTTAGATTTATATGACATTGATTTGGCAGAGTGATTTTCCATGGTATGGTATGTAACCCATTGTGTATTGGAGATGTTAAATTGCCCCATTTGATAATCCTGTTCTCAGTTTGTGGTCGTTTGCACCAAATGGAAAACACTGTGTTCAAAGAGAAACCGTGTACTATATTTAGCTCTCTCTCTCCCTCAGGTTCCAATCAATATTGAAAGTGCTTTTTTCTATTTTCTAAGAGGGATATACCATTTTAGCACAGTATATATATTTTTTACCCAACAAAGCTGTAATAATAATAATGAAAACCTTTCTCTCCTAAATTAAGCACATCAAAAAAAAAAATGTGATTGTGTTTTTAATATGAAAGCAGATGTTGTCATGGAAATGTGTGCTAATGTGGAGGCTGCCCATTAACATTTGACAGCATTAGTCAAGCCACAAGCTGGGAATTATCCGTGGGGGGAAGGGTAGACAGGGGGTGTTAAAAAGGAAATCCACACACATTTCCTGCTTGTGGGATCGTTACAAATCGACAACATCCTGTTCTTTTGTTGATCCTGCATGACCTCATGCTGCTGCGTCATAAACGTGTTTTTGCTACTCCAGTGCGCGAGCTCAATCAAATAGGAAATCAAAATGAAACTGATTCCTAAACTCTCTCTCTCTCATTTTTTTCTTCTTCATTTTAAGCAATGCCGACTGTTCCTGCCCTGTTTTCTGATTATACGGGAGGGAAAAAATGAGGATAAAGTGCACTCGATCGGCTTACAAATTAACCGGTGATGAGGAAACTCGGAAGTGTTTAGGACTAAAACGTTATCTCAATATCCAACAATTTTACGTGCGTCATATCAAACAATAACAGATGAACGCCGCAGTTAACTGTCCTGTAGCCTATATCCTACTAAATTTCGTTGAACGAGAAGAATACCTCAATACCATGGTAGGTCAGGACCTTAAGAAGACACAAGGCAATGTATAGAAAACATGAATTAAAGCAGTTGTGGCCGCCTTCTTCATGTAATCCGCTTTGGCATTGCCCTTGTGACGAAAAGCCCCCCATTCTTCCATTCATGAAATCTTGAAATGGCGCATGCGCTGTAAAATCCGGAGCTCTCCCATTCATAAAAGTGTAACCCCCGAGTCGTAATGCCCTCCCATTCACAAAAAAATCTGTCAAAGCATCTGCGCAGTACATTTCTAACCCTCCCATTCATAAAAAGCCATTTCCCTCATGTAGTTGCAACATCGTATGGAGAAGAAGACTTGTGTCCTTACCGCAGTGCACATCGCACGGATAGTCCTCCGGATTTTTTTCCCTTCGTGGCTTCGTTTGGATCTATCTATTGTTGGAATATATCGCAATAATCTGTTCATCTGGGAAGGAAATGATCTGTTTTCTAATACAAGTGAGTTTTTCGTTTAGTTTAGTTTTTATAGCCTCATATATATATATATATATATATATATATATATATATATATATGTTGTTGTATATATGTGTGTATATATATATATATATATGTTTATATTTATGCTTTATGTTTTTGTAATAGGCTATAATACTATAATACAAATGTCAAAGACAACGCTAAAACACGGAGTTTAATATTCTTGTTTCGAATCGAGTCGTTTTGCTGGTTTATCACAAAGCGCCGATACAGCCGTTCTTTAGCAACGCATTCTAGGTGTATATGTGCCTTGTGTAAATATTTAACTACGGACACTAACCACGACAGGATCGAATGCGATTTAAGAATGAAATAGACGCGTAAAACAGGTGAAGATTCGAGGTTAACCGTCGTTTCATTTGATCGGAGAAACAACAGGATTTCGTGTTGCGTATCACGATTCTGTGGCATTTGCTCGCGCGAGCAGCTCGTTTGTTCGCGTTCTGTCGAATATCATCGCGTGACGCTTCACTGCAGCTCGCGCATTCGATATACTGTTTTAATGAGTAAAACACTTAACGGAGATTAGTCAGAGACCGACGTTTTTATATTCTAGTAATTATTTGCTAGAATGAATATCTCCGTTTGAATGTAGACTGCTTTGTATGAAACTGTAATTGAGGCACGCGCAGCATAGTATAAACTGTCGTTTTAATAGACGACTCGACAGTAGGGTAGTATCTACAAGCTTGCTTAAGAGAAGCATAGAAGCCCTTATAATTCGCAACGTATCCAGTCTGTGCCACTTCAATCTCACGCAAAATCCTGCAACAGGTTGATTTTTTTTTTCCCCACATCATATAGGCTACAGTTAGGCTATCTTCAGCGCTGTAGCAAACATATAGAGACAAATAGCCTGTGTAACATTTTACAGGACCGTCCAACTAAAATATTTCCCTGGATTAAATGTTTCAAACGTGCAGCTGCGTTGAAGAGAGGATTTAACCCTTACACTCATGAGTATACGTAAAATTAATGACAATGAATCCCGGTTTGACTTCATGAACTTGTAGTGATTTGTAACTTAAAAAGCTGTAAATCTTAATTTAGCCCATGTGTGGTTTTCCTAACTTGTGTTTGGTTTATTCTGAACAAACCCCTCCCTTCAGAACACTAGTGTGGGCTTGTCCACTAAACTGATACAAATAAATCGTTGATGTGAAGGTTTAAACGCTCTTATTTTTTTACTTACAATTACGAGTTACAGTTAACCCTAATGTTATTTTCAAGCTCCAATTTGCTCTGTTATGCAAAGGCCACCTTTATTTTCGATGTAGGTGTTTCCAACACACAAACCAATCTTTGTTATTGGCAAGAAAACAAAAGTGTGAAAAGAATAGAATCCTATCAGGGTGCTTTTCAGTACTAAGCTGTGCTGTTATCTTTGCAGGAGTGCTAAATGCTGACCTGATCTCTGGTATATGAGGAACATAACCTACAGATGGAGTCAAGGGTTCCTCACCACATTCCTGGAGTCTCCTCCTCCATCATGGTGCAGCCTTTGCTGGACAGCCGAGTTCCCTACGGACGGCTCCAGCACCCATTAACTATCTACCCCATTGACCAAATGAAATCTTTACATTTGGAGAATGACTACATTGACACCCCCGCTGTGATCTCACAACAGCCACCGAGCCACAAGGCAAGCACGAGGGGGCAGGAAGTCCTGCTGGGAGCCCCACACCATCCTCATCTGTCCCGCTGCGAGGTCCCAGATGCCACCACACATCCGTGGATTTCGTTCAGCGGTCGGCCCAGCTCCATCAGCAGCTCCAGCAGCACCTCCTCCGACCAACGGCTGCTGGACCATGCAGCTCCCCCCCCTGTTGTGGATCCATACACGACTGGCAATGGCCATGGCAGGACTCTAGGTGCAGAGCAACCCAAGGTGATGAGCTCCAAGACTCAGAACCTGAAGGCAGTGACGGCCTTGCCGGTAGAGAAGAAGCACGTGCTGTTGTGCGACAAGTGTGGCAAATGCCGATGTACAGAGTGCACATTGCCTCGGGCCTTGCCCTCTTGTTGGGTTTGCAACCAAGACTGCTTGTGCTCAGCGCAGAACCTAGTGGACTCTGTCACTTGCATGTGCCTGGTCAAGGGCGTCTTCTACCACTGCACTGATGAGGACGAGGAAGGCTCCTGTGCCGACAAGCCGTGCTCCTGCTCGCACTCGAACTGTTGCGCGCGATGGTCCTTCATGGCAGCCGTTTCACTGGTGCTGCCCTGCCTGATGTGTTATTTGCCCGCCACTGGTTGCGCCAAGCTTTCGCAGAAGTGCTACGATGGCATCAGCCGCCCAGGCTGCCGCTGCAAAAGCACCCAGTCCTGCAAGGTGGCGGAGGTCAAGGCCTGTCAGCTGGAAAAGCAGGCCTCGTGATGACGTGCCAGAAATGGAGAGTACAAAAAGACTCGTGAGCAAAGTTCGCAGGACCCTCTCCAGTAGTGGTGTACTTCCCAAAATCATGGTACTTAAGGTTCACGCATTATCCTCGCGCTCAAGGTATTCTGGCGTAAATCAGTAGCAGTGTTTGACTGACCAACGGGCACAAACCATTATTATACTTGTTTATACAGTCCTGCAGAGGAGAGGCCTGCATTTTCTTTTCCTGGGGTTCTCACAATGGCTGCGGGATCAAAGTATTTGCCAGTTCAGCCCCTAGTAAAAGAACTTGCCAACACTCAGAATGCTGCATTTTAGCAAAACGTCTTTTTTAAAAGAAAAAAGAAAAAAGATTCTGATCTCTTCTCTGATGTTTATTTTCTCTTTGGGTGGCTTTGAAAAGTCAAAGTAAATATCACCCATTCAAGAACACTTTGGCAATCCCTCTCCGGATCTGGCACTGTGGAAAGGTTGCAGCGAATTCCAAGCTGATAACATGTCACAATCAAAATAACCAGACTTCATCTCTGTGCATAGTGCATTTACAAGCTTGTTATAGAGCTTTATTTCTTCTGTTGTTTGAAATGCAAACATAGGAGGTAATTTCGTTTCATTGAAGGATGTCCCTAAATGCAATGTGTGCTGTTGCGAAAGACATTGGTGACCACCCATAACCGCGTGGCAGGATGTTTCTATCTTCTGTGGGGACATATTGTTTGTTTTTGACGGCAAATAGGTGAAATAGCTTTCATGAGTAGTCCCTTCGATGACATGCCATAGCATACATGAACTTCCATAAGGATTCTTCCAAATGTTAGCGGTTCAATTTGTTGTAGACAATGACCTCAGGGATCATCGGTTCATCTGAATTACGTGCGGCGTGTGAATTCAGCTTGGAACTAGTTTGGTGATTAGAGTTAAGGAAACAGGCGGTGGAAGTATTTTGGGGGGGGGAAGTCAAAAAACAGCAATTCAGACACCAAGCATTCATAAGCTATGAGAAACATAGGGCCAGTAGTTACGGGAAAAGGCTATAAAGTTAGCTTTTACTGCTCTGCCGCTAATAAACTAAACATGCCAATTCTATCACCATTATAATAAGGCTAAAGCACAGTATTATGTACAGTAGCATGTACAAAGTGTTTCACTGTAGTTGGAAAAGTTCCTCTAGTTTACTACGCACCATACCACCACCAAACACAACGCTCTGTCGACGTGCCCTAGTATCGAACTGCTTTCTCCGCATATATTTTTGTTATATGTAGAGTATAGAGATTTTGCCAAAGGAGTGCACCATGGAGTTTGCGTTGACCATTTTATAACTCTAATCGTTTGTTTTCGAGTGAGCATGCGTTGTTGTACTCTAGCCAATTAGTGCGACAGTAAGCTCTTAAAGGTACGGTGCTCTGCTTCCCAGGATTCCTAGAGTCTTGGAGCACGAGGGAATGTTTTCTGCCTGCTCAACACAAACCCACGGTTCACGCGTTTATACCGAACTCGGACCTCGCTCGTTTAGTCCCACATGCTCCAACGTTTGTACTTGTTGCACAAATCAGAAAGGCAGAAACACACTACTGTTCTTAGTCTTGAATGTATAAGGCTAGTGTTTAAGTAAGTTTGCAATCTAACCCGTGGATAAGTGCCAGAGTAGTTCTGAATGGAGAAGCTTGCATAGAGAAGAGTTGCAAATGTACCATAGATATCTTAGATTTTGACCTATGCAGGTTACACGTTCTTGTAAATAGTCTCGAGAAACTAGCTATCTTAAAATATGTCCTGAGAAATTGCATGGTACAATTTAATTACAATTCAGTACAAAAGTATATAAATGAATTATTATATTTTTGGGAGGGCTGGGGGCGGGTGGGGGTTAAGATTATGTGGCTGTGGCATAGAAGGTAGGGTGTTTTAGGTATTTCAATTACAAGCACTTGATTTAGAAAAGTGTGCCAGGCAATAAAAATACCTCTGTTAATGCTAGCAATGCCTCATTAGCACGAGAGAGGCAAGGCTAATTCCCGGTTCCTCAGTGCCCCTGAAACTGTAGGTTTAAACGTATCCACCGAAGGAACGGCATTTCATCGCGCTCAAAGTAACACTTTGGGGTTTTTTTTTTACCCGAGTGTGGCCAAGCATTTGGTTTTTCCTCCTTCCTCCTAAAATGGTGCAACATCTTCAGTGCTTGATTGACACATACAGCTGCTGTGCGTGAACTGGGAGGAACGGGGATCCCTCTCAAGTAACATTACATTCCATCCTATTCGGTTTTTGCCCCAACTCATCTTTCACATTTCTCTCGACTACAGAGAAATTTTAGGGTTGTTCACACAACAATCTGGCCTACGCGTAATTGAACGATCTTCCTTCTATCAACCCATTGCTGAGATATTTCCATCAGTACGCTATGTCTTTTTGTGGTACAGTTTCTTGGCCACTAGAAACCTATTGTTTTTAACCCACTTTAAGCTGCCTTCCAAACTGTGCTTGTACTCTCTGCATTTTTTTATTTTATTTTTTTTGGCTTCATTGTTAATGTTGAGGATTAAAGAAAAGAGAAATGTGCTTTTGTTTTGTTTAAAAAAGCAAAAAGAAACAAAAATCTCTCACACATATGAAAATGTCCCTTTATAGATATATTTATTTTGAAGTTCTATTTTATATAGTATTTATTTAGATGCCTACTTTTGTTTGTGAATAAAAGCTTATGTCAAAACGGAATGTACATTGAAATCGGAAAATATATATTGTTAAATATAAAACTCTTTGTGTCGTGTCTTCAGTGTCCCTGCATTCATACAGAACATGCTGTTGGAAAACATGATCATTTAACGACAATTTGAAATTGGCTTGACTTTCATTTGTTAAGAAATGATAAAAAAACGACCTTTTAGTTAAAGAAATAAAGTACAATTGAACCGTTATTATTGCAACAGAAATCCAATGATCAGCTGGCTACTTTCCAAAGAAATGGACATGAAATAGTGAGTTGAAATCATTTTCCTTGGACTGTAGATAATTGCACAGTGTTTAGTCATTTTTGCACAAAACATGCAGCTGAGTAGTTCTCCATAACGGAAAATGTCAAAGGGCAGATATGTTATTTTGAGTCAAAACATAAGGGGATCACATTCTCTAGGTGTACGGGTTGCTATGCAGGGTTACAGTGTATTATATATTTTAGTACTGAGTAATATTTACAGTGTTGTAGTACTCGAGACTCGGACTCGTCTCGGACTTGGTCTCGAGACCATATTTTAATGGTCTTGGTCTTGTCATGGACTCGTGTGCATTTGGACTCGGAATTAACTCGTACTCGAACATTTTTTTTTTTAGGACTCGGACTTGTTCCCGAGTCCACTCGAGTTCAATTCAAAATATTTTTCATGATTATTAATGTATGTTAATAAAATTTTTCTTTAAATGGATTGACACGCCCAGTGATCAACTGCGCATGACAAATTGTAATAAAATTACTTTTAACACCACCTACTATGTGGCCTTTTTACCCTAAACTGATCATATTTTTTTAACTCTAATTAAATTCAGTAAAATAAAAAAAAGGATTTCTCTAAGTAAATAAAAGTAAATTAGGTAATAACCCTCACTGATCTCGGTCTCGACTCGGACTCGACCGTCTCTGGTCTCGGACTCGACTCTCTATGGACTCGGTCTTGACTCGGACTCGACTCTCTCTGGTCTCGGTCTCGACTCGGACTCGAGTGAGGTGGTCTCGACTACAACACTGAATATTTATTAACTACATGTACTTACTGTAGGGTTAGGATAGGATTAGCATTTGCTTGACTGTTATTTGCATGCAATTGTAAATAAAATTGTAAATATGTAAGGGCACTGTAAAATAAAGTGTCACCCTATACAGTTGCTAGGGTTTCTGGGTAACAACAAGGGTGTTCTAGGTAGTTTCTAGATGGTATCATATTGGTCCAGGCCAACAGAGATCACCTCTGCGTCTCTATAAGTATGTTTACATGCACTAGTATTTTTTTTAAATGAATCCAATTTCTGTTTAAATGAACCCTGAACTTTAATTTGATTCACATATTGGTTTAATCCGCAGCTACCGTGAGTAAAATAGAGTGCTGCAGAGATGACGTCGTTTTGAAAGCCAAAACCTAGAAACAAATTAGCATTTTAGCATTTAAGGTTCCTTAGCCCTGAATGACCTGAAATAAGATTTGTAGTGAACACAAGCTCAAAATAGTTTAATTCTACAACATAGTATACATCGGTAACACCCCCTGGGGATTTTTTTTAAAGCTTTTGTCTTGTAAAAGGTGGTGGCTAGCATGTGGCTAACTGGGACTACTAAGGTTGTTTGAACATAAAACGTCATCACGCTGAATAGGTAAACTCACCAACTCGTTGTGTTTACAGTCGTGCTCTTGCAAACTATTCTAACTCAAACATTCAGGGAAAAAGGTTTTTAATTAAAGAATGAAAGAGTTGCTTAATAGTGGTAATGTTTATTAGTTGTTGATGTTGGTGATTAGATTTGTACTCGAAAGTATTTACAGTTCAAGATTAGCTATTCGTGAAGATTATCATGATGAACAAAACGTGTAAGAATCGAACATTTTTGTTGGTCACAGAGCTTATTTTCTGCAATAATCTAAAATCCTACTGGGTTTTTGTTAGGGGAAGCCAGCTTCTAGGTTTGCCCACAAAAATATGTCTTTACATAAATTTAGTCCCTGACCAGTTTGTAAAACGTAAATGAACATGGATGTTTGGGAGACATAAAAATCACTGCAAGGTATTTTTGAATCTGAAACTAGTCGTATTCCAGCGTTTACATGCTTATTTGTTTTCTATTGACCGGATTATTTCAGGTCTACACCACCCTTTCCAATCCGATCAAAATTGAATTCAGACTGAGCTTAATAGGATCGATTGAGGTGTTTACATGAAGCCTTATCAGTCCAATTGAGACATACTAATGGATTACTTAATGGCATAAACATAGCTTATGACATTCTGATGTTTAGGTAGTGTTGGTCTACGTGATTTTTAATCATCCCATTTCACTAGTTCACACTTACATATAATCGAATAGAGTAAAGAGTTTGTGTATTTGGCCTGTTGGATGGGACGAGGGCTCCGAGTCCAGTGTACTCCCCCCCATCCCTGGCTGGGATAGGAACAGTTGAGAGTGAAGAGCTTGGGTGGAGGAGAGATGCTTGAACACTGTCATGGGACAGGGGTGAGTCGGCTATTTATATATAGGCCTCCTCGCCCCTGATTGGGTAGATTCTCTGAACGTGCTTCACCCGAACTTTATTAATGAAACATCATGTAATTGCCCACCATTTGTAAATCGTTAATCTGTTCACTGTTCAGAAGATTGATAGCACACTTCTCCTCGACAACTCACATCATTTAATGTATCATACATGTCATCTGTGAAGGGTGGGTCACAAAGCGTTTAATACTTAGGTTTAGTAGGTAGTCAGAGTGAAAGCAAAAGAAACACCAGCCATTTGGGTTACACTTTATTTCGATAGTGCACTTTGGACATTACAATAACTTAGTATATTTTCAACTACATGACAACTAACTGTTGTAGACTTTCAGTAGACTGTTTTAGACTGGTTATGGTTAGGTGTTAGGGTTCGGGTTAGGAGAATAAGTTGACTTGTAGTTGCCAAGTTACTAATGGTATGTTGGGGGAGCATCAAAATAAAGTGTTAGCAGATATTTAGCAGACAGTCTACTAATCCTCTAATGGTGACATGTAGCTGCAAAGTCACTTATAGAATGTCTAAAGTGGACTATCGAAATAAAGTGTTACCCAAACGGGTAGTAACCTTTTAATACCAACTCAATGCATGCATCAACGACCTGGGCTTTCTCCTAGCAGCTCTATCTGGCATCTGCTCTCGCTAAGTCACATATCCAGTCATTTTGTACAATTCAGTATGCGTTGAGAGCCTGGTTTGCATGTGCATTTCCGAAGTGAACTCATCCACGGTGTCTTGGTTCAAGAAAACGTCCTCTTGCGAATGACATATTGCAAAACTCCTGAGCACATCTGGTGCTGTACTCATGCCCTCCCCTCTCATTTTCATTCTTATTCTCATCCCCTTCCTCCCCCCCACCACACACACACACACACACACACACACACACACATACCCCTCCCTCACCAGGCTCGGATATGAATGCAATCCAACAGAGGCAAACAAGAGTGAAGCTCAGTGATTTGCAAGGCAGGAGGGGGGATTGGGAGGTAAGACTGTTCATGGAACTTCCTCTGGTTCATGTGTGTGTGTGCGCAAATCTGCAGGAATTGAAGCTTATGATCGATGGGAACATCAAGGGCAGGATATTTCAAAATGTTATCTGGCACAGATAGAAAAAATCTACAATTAATGTACAGCAAATAATTCCTAAAAAGAGTTTTTAATTTAATTTAACAATACTAGACTAAGAAAACAATGTTATACAATACTAGACTAAGAAAATTAGAGTCATGCTAGACAGGGCTATTGCTAAGGATTTATGAGTGGTTTTAGCCACTTTTTAGCCATTCCCACGCATGCTTAATATGTTTTAGATATATTTCAGAGTTATACAGTACTTTTTTATGAATGACTTTAATAAGAAATTTTACATAAAATGTCATAAATGTTCAAGATAGCCAACAACTACAGCTAAATAGACCAGTCTGATGTGTTCAAGTCAACAAGAAGCCTCAAAGTCTCAATTGTATAAGAAAAAATCCCAAAAATTTCCTCTAAAGGCTAGTCTTGTTACTAAATGGTGTTATTAAATAGTGAATCATTAATACCATTATTGAAATAGCCTATAAAATATACTAGAATAAACATTTTATCAATTATATATTAATCAATTGCAAATATATTCTCTCACAGATACAGAGCAGCATTTGCTTTTTTTAAAAGGTTAAAACAATTGACAATTAAATCATCATTCTGGATCTCATTCATTTTTGATTGTTTTAATAAAATTCATTCTATAGATGTTTTTTTTTTTTTGCCATGAAATGTAAATGGAATAAATACGGTATATAACAAATAAATTAAATCTAAGTCTATTTATTATTTTTTTAATGTCAGTGGCGCCTAATATCAACCAGAATTTGACTGTAATACCAATTAAATTTTTGGCAAAACAAATATAGTTACCATGAATCGTGCACCTTGATAAACATACAGTATCTGCGAAATGTAAATGTGATGTAGGAAACAAATAAAATCATCAGAGGTGAGGAAAAGTGAGAAATAAGGAAAGACAGAGATGGCCAATCGGCTCGCAACACTAATTTCGCAAACTCCATGGCACCGACCCAAGCGAGCAACTTTTAAAAACAAAGGGCTACTGTCTTGCATCATTTCCCCTCTCTACTGCTGCTCCGGAAAGCACTTCTTATCACCATTTATTGCCGGTCTGTATCAGTGGCCTGGTCTGTGCTAACACCCAACCCCAATGGATTTTCAGTGCTCCAAATGCAGAGTTGTAAAACGCATAGCAGGGTTGTCTTACAAATACTCATTTACATTCCCCCCATAAATTTGCCATGTTCTAATAATAAAAAAAAAAATTCTTCA